TAAAGCAATCGATCAATTCGCCAGGTGAACTCTAACCAATCAGTGTGTCGGGTAAAGTTAGATCAATGAAGTAATTAAATCTCAGCACAAAGTTGAATCGATCGGCCATTACACCACACGAAGTCCGATCAATAATAATAATAATAATAATAATAATAATAATAATAATAATAATAATAATAATAATAATAAATATCAGTAGAATAATAACAATCATACAACATAACAACTTACTAAATAAAAATAAAATACGGTTAATAATAATAAAAATAATAATAATAATAATAATAATAAATTTTCATACGTCAATACTCCCTTACCAACCCAGTCAGTAATAAACAAATCAACATTAAAACCAACGTCCACAATGTTTACAATAACACCCGAACACTGAGAGCAGATCAGCTGTTGGAGGGAGGAACGTGAACCACAACCAACGTCAGATTAAAACCTACCTTAAAAAATACGAGAAATAAATAAAATAAACGTAATTGGTTTAATTAATGTTAGAATAAATATCACTGGTTTAAAAAGTGTAAAGGGAGAGCCGAGGCGTTCTCTAAGTGGTGTTTGTTTACGTCAAGAAAACGTTCTCTAGGGGTTACTATCTTGTTTGTTTACGTCACGACACCATTTTCCAGGAGTCACTGTTCTGTTTACGTCACGAAAAACGTTCTATACGGGTTACTATCCTGTTTACGTCACGAAAAACGTTCTATACGGGTTACTATCCTGTTTACGTCACGAAAAACGTTCTCTAGGAGTTTCCAATATGTTTACATGTTACAAAAAAACCCCAAAACAGATTGATTGTTTACACTAGAATGGCAGCTTCATTGTGTTATGTTGTACGCCCTAACGTTGGTATGTGTCACCTGTGAGTTGTTACCTGTAGGTGTTCGTCTGCTGCTTCTGAGAGGAGTTAATAAGAGAACAATTTCACAGTGAATGAAGAGACTTTTAAAATTCAAAACTCTCACACACACACACACACACACTCAGCCAAACACTCACACACACACTCAGCCAAACACTCAAAACAAACTCACACACTCAAATTCACTTAAACACACACGATCTCTCACTCATTCATAAATTCAAATGCACTCACTCACTCACTCATCCGTCCAAACACACTCCAACGCACCATCAGTAAATATAGTAGTTTTAAGAGTGAGGGAAATAATAAAAAAAAAAAGAGTTTATCGCATAAATTCATTCTAGCTGATGACGCCACGCATTGAAAATATTTACCATGATGTAATTATATGAAATTATAACATGAAATTTTACAATGTTTTTATTTGGGGGACGGACATTTATATTATAAATCTTGCTAACTATGACCATATTTCCTTCCCTTACCGAGAGTATCCTGTAGAATTTGTTCACTTAATCCATGATGAAGCCTATCTTAGCGACATTTTATTTAGGGCTATTAGGTTGGGGCCTATTAAGACTGGGGCCTATTAGGTTTAAGACTGGGCCTATTAGGTTGGGGCCTATTAAGACTGGGGCCTATTAAGACTGGGGCCTATTATGACTGGGGCCTATTAAGACTGGGGCCTATTAAGACTGGGGCCTATTAAGACTGGGGCCTATTAAGACTGGGGCCTATTAAGACTGGGGCCTATTAAGACTGGGGCCTATTAAAACTGGGGCCTATTAAGACTAAGATGCCCATTAAAACTGGGACCCATCATGACTGGGACCCATCATGACTGGGACCCATCATAACTGGGACCCATCATGACTGGGACCCATCATGACTGGGACCCATCATGACTGGGACCCATCATGACTGGGACCCATCATGACTGGGACCCATCATGACTGGGACCCATCATGACTGGGACCCATCATGACTGGTACCCATCATGACTGGGACCCATCATAACTGGGACCCATCATGACTGGGACCCATCATGACTGGTACCCATCATGACTGGGACCCATCATGACTGGGACCCATCATGACTGGGACCCATCATGACTGGTACCCATCATGACTGGGACCCATCATGACTGGGACCCATCATGACTGGGACCCATCATGACTGGGACCCATCATGACTGGGACCCATCATGACTGGGACCCATCATGACTGGGACCCATCATGACTGGGACCCATCATGACTGGGACCCATCATGACTGGGACCCATCTGACTGGGACCCATCTGACTTACTGCTCACTCAAGTATCTCATTGAATTCTAAACCCAGCTGGTGAATGGTTACCGCTCACTCGTTCATACGGCAACTGGTTATTTGGATCACCTGAAGATTAGGCAACCCACCCTAACCTAACCTAACCTAACCTAACCTAACGCTAACTTACCCTAACCTAACCTAACCTCACACTAGTCTAACCTAATCCTTACCCCAACAGTAACCTAACTTAACCTAACCCTAAAGCTAACTTAACCTAACTAACCCTACCGCTAAACTAACATAGCTTACCCAAAAGCTAACCTAAGCTAACTAACCCTAACGCAAACGTAACCTAACTTACTCTAACACTACTCTAACCTAACCTAACACTAGTCTAACCTAACCTAACTTACCCTAACACTACTCTAACCTAACCTAACTTACCCTAACACTAGTCGAACCTAACCTAACACTAGTCTAACCTAACCTAACTTACCCTAATACTACTCTAACCTAACCTAACTTACCCTAACACTACTCTAACCTAACTTAACCTAACCTAACACTACTCTAACCTAACCTAACTTACCCTAACACTAGTCTAACCTAACCTAACTTACCCTAACACTACTCTAACCTAACCTAACTTACCCTAACACTACTCTAACCTAACTTAACCTAACACTACTCTAACCTAACCTAACTTACCCTAACACTAGTCTAACCTAACTTAACTTACCCTAACGCTAGTCTAACCTAACCTAACTTACCCTAACACTACTCTAACCTAACCTAACACTACTCTAACCAAACCTAACTTACCCTAACACTAGTCTAACCTAACGCTAGTCTAATCTTATCTAACTTACCCTAACATTACTCTAACCTAACTTAACCTAATGCTAATCTACCCTAACTTAATCAAACTTACCCTAACCTAACCTAACCCCCCAGGTAACATTAGTAGTATTTAATCAAGGGATGAAATATGCTAGGGTGCCTGATACTCACGTGATTCGTTATCATTTTTACTCATTAGTTCATGGAATTAAATAAACAGAGGGGAACACAGCCACTGCTCATGATTATTAATTAAAACACTGTAGCATTATCTAAACAAACCTGCTTACTTAAATATAATACAACAACAACAGTAACATACATAATATATTTCACTGATAACGAAAATGGTTAGTTATTATGGCAACTGGTCAAATAGGCCCCAGTCCCTACAGGACCCAATTCTAATAGCGACCAAAGTCCTAATAACCTGATTCCTAATAGCCCTAATTCCAAAACCTAACCTAACCATTAGTATGGGGATCCCTCGTATAGGTTAGGTTAGGTTAGGTGGGGTCCATTTGATCTTCAACCATGCAGTTATATGATGGTTGAGCGGACAGTGCCACACCCGGCCACGCCTGGTTACACCCCACACGACCCGCCACGGAAGGCTACACGTCATCCACTTCATCCACACTGCTTGTATTTGTTTTTGTAATTCTGCTGTACTGCTGGCGTGTATGACAACATTACAGCCTATACGCAGCAAGTATAAGTTCTGTCCCGTTAACCCTAAGTGCTGTATTTGTATGACTTAGAATACAGCATATACTCAGCTTGTAACCTCTGTCGCGGTAATCCCAGAGCGGTATTTCTGTAAGTCGACGCTGTACCGGTGTGTATGATCACATTACAGCCTACACGCAAGGGAAGTGAGTTATTTCTGTTCCTGTAACCCAAGTGCTACAGAAACATTTTGTAACTGTACTGTACTAGTTAAGACCACAACATTACAACATACAGTGGCTCGTCTCTGTAACCCTGCGTCCGTCCATACCTTACAAGCCAAGTAAACCACGTACAAGAATATAAAACCTACATAATAAACCACAAAAGAATAGTTTTAAGGAACACACCATCAAAAGGATATCTTTATAATTTTGTGTGAGACAATATGACACAACGGACGAAGGATTATGACAACCCTACCGAGACAACAGGAGTCTCAGTGTTCGTTTTGACATTTATCGTTCCCCTCCGTTAAGATACTTTTTTGACTGCACTGAGGAAAAAGAGTAGGAACCTGAGCACAGCTAAAGCCAATAATTTCCGAAACAATGTGATGTCTACTGAAGTACTTTCGTGTGAATAAAGAAAAAGGATGTTTGGTTTTACTTAAAGGACAACATGAGGAAAATAAATTATCTAAACGACATCCATTGACATCAAGACATATTACTAAAAATTTTGCTCGCACAAAAAATCATAAAACGCAAATCCACTTTCTCAAAATTCAATTATAAACTTTAAAAAAAAATATCCTGACTTTACAATTCACATCCGAGACTGTGCGAGTGTGTGTGTGTGTGTGTGTGTGTGAACGGAGGACAAAGTTAGGTAATGTGGTCTGTAAATGTTTACTCCTTTTTAAAATATTATATTTCTAAATACGTTATTAATTAATTGGGAACACCTGAAGATTACCCCCCACCCCTAAGCTTCCTGTATTTAAGGAAGAATCATAAGGCGGGGGTCAATCAGTGTTTCAAACTATATTAAGCAGCATACTGTACCTATTACCTCTATTTACACGCTAATTAATATAATGTTTGGTGATTTTTAATTTGTTTCGGGTAACTAACATTACGTTATGCATTTTTATTTATTTAGAAGACAAATTAAGTACTTTTATTTATAGGTGCGTCAACTCGCAGTGTGGTAATTTAAAGAAGTGTACAGTATATACGGTAATGTTTTAACGTACTGTACAGTGTTTACTTTTAAGTCAACACGTCTCTTCTACACATCTGACTCCACATTAAGAAGTACTGTTGTTGTGTTGCAGGCATGGGTCAACACAACCTGCTGGGAAAGACCAGGCGGCCCCGCACGGCCTTCACGTCGCAGCAGCTGCTGGAGCTGGAGAAGCACTTCAGGGAGAACAAGTACCTCTCCAGGCCCAAGCGCTTCGAGGTGGCCACCAGCCTCATGCTCACAGAGACTCAGGTCACTACTATACTCCTTTAATGACCACTCACTACCACCTAAGTTGTGTGTCCCAGCAGCTATAACTTGAGGATCACTGCTCAATAATAACCCTCGCAGCTGAAGATCTACATAAAAGATATCACCAACAAGTCACTACACTCACCAGACACATATAATTTATTGTAAAATTAAAATAATCCCTAATGCAAGAACTCACAAACATTCTGCAAACACTGTCATAATCAACATACTATACATGTTTTGGTGTACAGTAATGCATCTATCATTTTCACTTAATAATTTCAATTCATACATTCTGTTATTATAGTTATGTACAGTACTGGTGCTGCTTCTTATCATACAATGATAATTTGTATTGTATTTTTTGCATTCCTTTCAAACATTTTTCTGCTGTAGTCCAAAAAGGTTAGAATTAAGTACAAATACATACATTTGATTTTTATTTACTACTGTAACTGATGTATTCTGCTTAGGTCCTCCTCTACCATAAGGCCCCAAATATCTATGGTCCTCCTCTACGCAGGCTAAATATCTGTTCCTCCCCTACCATAGGCTCAAATATCTATAGTGCCTCCCCCTACCTAGGAGGCCCCCAAATATCTATGGTCATCTCACCTCTTCTGCAGACCCCCAAATATCTAGATCCTCCCTACCACATAAAGGCTCCAAGTATCAACGGTCCTCCCCTACCATGGGCTCAAATATCTGTAGTCCTCCCCTACCATAGGGCTCCAGAAATGTCTATGGCCTCCCCCTACCCTTAAGGCTCCAAATATCTATAGTCCTCCCCCTACCACCAAGGCCCCCCAAATATCTATGGTCCTCCCCTACCACCAAGGCCCCCAAATATCTGCTGGATATCCTCTGCCATAAGGCCCCCAAATATCTATGGTCCTCCCCTACCTGGGCTCCCAAATGTCTGCAATTCCTCCTCTACCACCAAGGCTCCAAATATCTATGGTCTCCCCTACCACAGGCTAAATATCTTAATTCACTCCCCCTACTGCCAAAATTTAAATATCTATAGTCTCCCCTACCGCAAAACCAAAAATATCTATGGTCCTCCCCTACCATAAGGCCTCAAATATCTATGGTCCTCCCCTACAACAAGGCCCCAAATATCTATGGTCCTCCCCTACCATAAGGCCCCAAATATCTATGGTCCTCCCCTACCACAAGGCCCCAAATATCTACCAGCCTCACCCCTGTCGCCTCACACATCCCAGCATGATCCATCCATTACCTGTTTGTTATTCTTTCCCTCAATATTTATTGACTTTCTGCAGCTAAAATCACACCAGGAGAATTCTTAAGTTAAATGTCAATAAAATAACCAGGAGAAACTATTTAATTCCTGGTATTGTGAGTCTGGCCTACAGAGAGCCATCTTTTAGAGGGGTGAGGAGCCACAGTTAGATAAGATACTAACAGGAATTGTTATTTATTTTTGTTCAAGAATAGTCCAGTCCAAAAATGTTACAAATCGTATTCCATTTAATCTGATTAAAATTCAATTTTCCATCAAGATTTTCTAAGTAGATTTTTCATGTGGATAGATGATAAATTATTCCTTATTTATTTCTTCATTTATTAACAGGAGTTAGTACATAAGTACTTTGAGAACGATTAAAGTTTTCAATAAAGAAGTAAAAATTTATGATAATACAGGTGTGAATTTCTAACCCTATTCTCAAGTAGTAGTGAACCTTGTGCACCACAGTAGAGTTCTGACGGGATTGTGATCAGTATCACAGTCTACTAGTCGAAACAACCACAGAAAATCCAACCTAACTTTCCTAACGCAATTAATATACATTCTAAGATTACTAGGTTAGGTTAGGTTAGATTTGATCGGTTCGTTGGTCTGTTAAAAAGATGATGAACTTTATGGGTAGTGGAACATTTCTTGCAGGACGTTTGTAGAAACACGCTAAATAATGCCTTAAATTCGTCAGTGATATTGACTTTCATTTTTAACGATCCCACGAGTTTCAGTTTGTCCACGTTACGTTTACAGGTATGTCATAATGTGGTGTCGTACCCTGACCTGACCTAACTTGGCTTATCCCTCTCACTCTACAGGTAAAGATATGGTTCCAGAACCGACGGATGAAGTGGAAACGGAGTAAGAAGGCGGTGTCGGAGAACCGGAAGGAACAGCGACAAAAGGAAGGGAAGGAAAACTCCGGCAGTAAGGAAGAGCGAGGGAAGGACTCCAGCTCAACAGGGTCAGGGGCCACGGTGACGCAGGAGGAGCCCCTCGCCAATCAAGAGTCAGACGACGAGATCGACGTGCAGGAAGACACTGTGGGGGGCGAGGAGGGTACTGAGGCGAGGAGCGAAGAGCCGCTGTCCTCACCCAGTCCCACACAGCTGTCGCAGCCTGCCGAGTCCTCTACAGCCCCCTCACCGGACCCTCGCCGCTACGACCCCCTCTACGACAGTATCCATGCCCACGCTGCAGCCATGTCCAACCTCCACGTTCCTACCCCAGTGGTCACTTCGTCAGGAGGGTCGTCAGTGTTCTCGGGGCAATACCAACACATGCCCCTCTCCGCTGCCCTCCTCACTAAACTCCCTCCTGACGCAGAGCATCTCTACAGACCCTACGTCTCGTGAGACTACTTGCGATAGTCTCCTGATTCTCCTACAGTACCATCAGCGCCTCCTCCGCTATAACCAAGCCACTCGTGAACATTACCAAGGACTTAGAAGGGGCACTGTAACTACTACCCATAAGTGACACTACCAAAATATAAATGGGTCGTTTAAATCTTTATTGTTAAGTGAGCAGAGGAAGTATTGTGTGAGGCGTTACAAGTGTGTCGTGAGCAATTGAAACTCTTTAACTTTAGTGTATATAAGGAAAAATATACTAATGCTGGACACGTGATCTTACGAGCATACTAAAGCCTCAGTTATAAACTTAAGCATAACGCAGACTCTTGGTTATATGTTTCAGAAAATCCTTGGATGACGCCAGGGTGTGTGTGGCACTCCCATAACCCTGGGCCAAGGTTCCCCTACCGAGTGAGGAGTGATGTGTTAGTGTGTGTGTGTATGGTGCCGTGATGGTGACCAGGTCATCAAGTTTCCTAAAACTTTCGTGTCTATTGTCTTGTCAATTCTTCATCGTGATACACGTTAGTTATGACTATATGTAGTTATAGCAACACTGCTTCAGCATATTTACATCATGACCCCACTAAACATTTAGCAGTAGTTCTCGGAGACTTGCACTAGTCAAGGATGCACTGGTCTGTTTCCCGTCATCAGAAACAATCATTAATCATCAAACAGCTTCTTCACCGCTTATTTCAGGTTGTATTTCCTTATTTCCTCACCTGTAATTGTTGATCATCTCACAAACTAAAAATCTTTTCTCATAGATGTCTAGTTTCTCAAGAGCAAAAATGATCTTGCTTAACTCTAGTTAAGTCTCATTCTACTTTTCATAATTTTTTAAGTTAATTTATTGGGAGGTTGAGTTGGGTGCGTGTCCCCGGCGACTGAGGGTCGGGGGCGGCAGCCAGTGAGCGTCTTCTGTATTATAAACCACCACTAGACTAGAGTTAAGGCTCCACCACTATTTTGATACAGTGATATAAGTCACCACTACCACGTGTTGATGATGCTACTCTATAGTACTGTACTATTGTCCCACACATGTTTGCTGCCGCCGAGCGTCCACCTGGGCAGTCCATGACACAACTGTAACTTAGATGTTGTTACTTAGGCAAAGCAATTTCTTCTTTACCCTCATCCTCTAATATTAATAAACATAAAAAAAACGAGTTGTATCGAGATGTATTCTTGTCCTTGGCTGAGATATTATTACACGGTTACTGTACATATAATGAAAAGTATAAATCTGTCGTGTGGTACTTTGTGCAAGTGATGGATCTGTAATAAACTTGACCTACAACCGAGGATTCTCCCCTGAAAGACATCACTAACAAGCTCTGTGTCTCACCATCTGAGCCTAATGTATATTTATAAACATATAATCTAACTTCCAAATTTCAGTAATTTTGTTCAGCTGTTGCCGATTCTACAACACAGTGAAGCTCCTTTACACTCCCTGGTACTATACGGTGTAGTGTAGTTGGGTGAGAAATATATTGTGTGTGTGACGTGGGTGTTCCCAGTGACCTTCGGCTCGTTCCTGTGATATGGCGTCTGAGTATCAAGTGTTTTTCTTATCTGTCCCACGTATTTGCAGTTCACAATGTAAACAAGTACTTCTTTGTCCGCGACAGGCACATTACCAGGCATAGCGAGTGCTGCTGAGGCGTGACGCTGGGGTGTGTGAGGAGGCGGGGATAAACCACATATTTATAACTCAGGCCATTCTTGTGGATCACGTTAAATAACAAATCATTTTACGGCATTTGAGGGAAAACTAGCAATGAATAGTGGGGGAGTCAAGTGTTGCCTCAAGTTGTGGTTTAATACTGATGTGCTCTTGATTCTGGCCACCCTACAACAGCAGCGAGGAGGAAGACCTTACCAGAGTATAAAGGAGAGAGAGAGAGAGATACTGCTCTTGATAACATAGCTAGTACACAAGCTACAATGTTCTTGACAACAAAACTAGTACACGATACACAGTGTGGACGCGACTAGGAACAGGTGTGAGGAGCAATCGTGAGTATTAATAAAAAAAAGTCGAAAAGCTGAAACATAAAATTATCGACTAGACTTTTGTAATAATAAACTGAAACAAGTGAATACTGTTGACATAAATAAGAGAGACGTGGCTGAAATAGTGTACCGTCATAATGTATTGGTAGGGAATGATACAACAATGACGAAATGTAAAATGAAGACTTGCAAGATGAAGAAAAAATGACAAAAGAAGAGAGTAATTTAAAGTCGACTTGAAAATGAACAGTAAGGGATAACAGCTAAAGAACAAAGGCTGAATAGATGAATTAACAGGTAAACTAGAAAGGTGGTCATCAAACAGTGAACAACATTCCTACTGTAACATAATGAAGAAATGGATACAGGATATATAAACACAACTGCCTGGATAAGGAACACAACAAGTCTCATCTTTCGGCCATGTACAGTAGGAGTAAGATCCATTCATGAATGTTGGAAATATTATTGACGACGACGAGCTAAGAAGACAGTGGACAAAAGTTTGACTCACTAGCACCATAACTACTGTACACTACCCCTTGAGTACGATGACGAGTATGACTTTAACCTTGAGTACGATGAGGATTATGACTTCAACCCTTGAGTACGATGATTTAACCCCTTGATAACTATGACAACCCCTTGAGTACGATGATTTAACCCCTTGATAACCATGACAACCCCTTGAGTACGATGATTTAACCCCTTGATGACTATGACAACCCCTTGAGTACGATGATTTAACCCCTTGATGACTATGACAACCCCTTGAGTACGATGATTTAACCCCATGATGACTTTGATTTAACCCCTTGATAACTATGACTTAACCCCTTGTGCTACTGTGTGTGTGTGGGGGGGGGGTCAAGTGTGTGTGGGTCAAGTGTTGTCAGAGAGAGAGGAGTGACGGATGTCTGAGTACCGTAGGTCAGAGGTCAACTCCCTTACCATACATAAATGAAAGGGAAGATATAGTGATTTTAATGAAAACTGATCCACACTTTAGCTAAGTTATTGTTCTATCAGTGTAAAATGCATCATGTAAACTAATTAACTAGTCTTAGTACATGACCTTCCTTGACCTAAAGCCCTGACATATGACCTTCCTTGACCTAAAGCCCTGACATATGACCTTCCTTAACCTAAAGCCCTGACATATGACCTTCCTTGACCTAAAGCCCTGACATATGACCTTCCTTGACCTAAAGCCCTGACATATGACCTTCCTTGACCTAAAGCCCTGACATATGACCTTCCTTAACCTAAAGCCGACATATGACCTTCCTCGACCTAAAGCCCTGACATATGACATTCCTTGACCTAAATCCCTGGCATATGACCTTCCTGACCTAAAGCCCTGGCATATGACCTTTCTTAACCTAAAGCCCTGATATATGACCTTTAACCTAAACCCTGACATATGACCTTCCTCGACCTAAAGCCCTGACATATGACATTCCTTGACCTAAATCCCTGGCATATGACCTTCCTGACCTAAAGCCCTGACATATGACCTTTCTTAACCTAAAGCCCTGATATATGACCTTCCTTAACCTAAACCCTTGACATATGACCTTCCTTGACCTAAAGCCCTGACATATGACCTTCCTGACCTAAAGCCCTGGCATATGACCTTCCTGACCTAAAGCCCTGACATATGACCTTTCTTAACCTAAAGCCCTGACATGACCTTCCTTAACCTAAACCCTTGATATATGACCTTCCTTGACCTAAAGCCCTGACATACGACCTTCCTCGACCTAAAGCCCTGACATTTGACCTTTTTATGGATATGAAACTAAAAAGTCCTGAATAAAAGATAAAACCTAAGAATTAAGAAGTCTATGGAAGCCTTTGAATATAAAAACGCAAGGAACATGTGTGGTTGAAATATACGTTTGAAAGACGTTTGGAGGAAAATGTATTGAGATGATAATAAATAAGTACGATTAATGAAGACTTAAACTAATGGGGTGAAAGGTGTGTGTGTGTGTGTGTGTGTGTGTGTGTGTGTGTGTGTGTGTGTGTGTGTGTGTGTGTGTGTGTGTGTGTGTGGCATGTCTCCTCTACTAGTTCCTTCCTTCTCGTGGTTCATGTTACCCTACATCCCCCTACTCACGTGAAAGGGAAAATATGATAAAGAAATAGACGTAGAATACAGAAAGAATTCAAGAATGTTTCAAAGACTGAATTACTAAGTTAAAATTAAAAATACAGTGACAGAAATAAATAAACACTCCCTAGACAGATTCATCAAGAAATATTTAAGATTAGACAGGTAATATATGACAGAAATGATGGAGAAACTGTCACAATGAACATCAATTATGCTTGAAATAATAACTTGAGAGAAAAAATGAGACATAAATCTAGATGACGAATCAAGTGAGAAGAGTAAAGACTTGTGAGACATTCAGACAATTGTGAATGTATTGGTGTATATATTTTCTTCTTTTACATTCAACATTCTATTTTATTTTGTAGTTTGTATCAGGAAATTTTTAGATTATTTAGGGGTTTTTTATATGAGTTTAGTGGTTCTAGTCCTCACTATTATGTTGCTGGGAGAAGAGAGTGTTGCTGGGAGAAGAGAGTGTTGCTGGGAGAAGAGTGTGTTGCTGGGAGAAGTGTGTGTTGCTGGGAGAAGAGTGTGTTGCTGGGAGAAGTGTGTGTTGCTGGGAGAAGAGTGTGTTGCTGGGAGACGAGTGTGTTGCTGGGAGAGGAGTGTGTTGCTGGGAGAGGAGTGTTGCTGGGGAGAAGAGTGTGTTGCTGGGAGGAGTGTGTTGCTGGGAGAAGAGTGTAAGTTGCTGGGAGAAGAGTGTTGCTGGGAGAGGTGTTGCTGGGAGAGGAGGTGTTGCTGGGGGAGAGTTGAGGAGAGTGTTGCTGGGAGAAGAGTGTGTTGCTGGGAGAGGAGTGTGGCTGGGAGAGGAGTGTGTTGGGAGTAGAGAGTGTTGCTGGGAGAAGAGTGTGTTGCTGGGAGAGGAGGTGTTGCTGGGAGAAGAGTGTGTTGCTGGGGAGAAGAGTGTGTTGCTGGGAGAGGAGGTGTTGCTGGGAGAGGAGTGTGTTGCTGGGGAGGAGGTGTTGCTGGGGAGACCCAGAGTGTGTTGCTGGGGGAGAGAGTGTTGCTGCTGGGAGAGGAGGTGTGCTGAGAGGAGGTAAAGGCTGGGGAGAAGAGAGTGTTGCTGGGAGACGAGTGTAAGTTGCTGGGAGAGGAGGTGTGTTGGTTGGGAGAAGAGAGCAAAGGTTGGGGAGAAGAGGAAGTTAAGGAGAGGAGGTAAGTTGTTGGGAGAAGAGGTGTTGCTGGGAGAGGAGTGTGTTGCTGGGAGAGAGTGTGTTGGGAAGAGGGAGGTGGTTGCTGGGAGAGGAGTGTGTTGCTGGGAGAAGAGAGTGTTGCTGGGAGAGGAGTGTGTTGCTGGGAGAGGAGTGTGTTGCTGGGAGAAGAGTGTGTGTTGCTGGGAAAAGAGTGTGTTGCTAAAGGCCGGGAGGAGGGAGAGGAGTGTGTGTTGCTGGGAGAGGAGTGTGTTGCTGGGAGAAGAGTGTGTTGCTGGGAGAGTGTGTTGCTGGGAGAGGAGTGTGTTGCTGGGAGGAGGTGTTGATTGGGAGAAGAGTGTGTTGCTGGGAGAAGAGTTGTGTTGAGTGTGTTGCTGGGAGAAGAGTGTGTTGCTGGGAGAGAGGGGTTGAGAAAGAGTGTGTTGCTGGGAGAGAGGTGTTGCTGGGAGAGGAGTGTGTTACTGGGAGAAGAGTGTGTTGCTTGGGAGAAGAGTGTGTTGCTGGGAGAAGAGTGTGTTGCTGGGAGAAGAGGTGTTGTTGGAGGGAGAGAGTGTGTTGCTGGAGAAGAGTGTGTGTGCTGGGAGAAGAGGTGTTGCTGGGAGAGGAGGTGTTGGGAGAGGAGTGTGTTGCTGAAGAGGTGTTGCTGAGAGGAGTGTGTTGCTGAGAAGAGGTTGCTGGGAGAGGTGTGGGAGAAGAGTGTGTTGCTAAGAGAAGAGGAGTGTATTAATCTCTTAGTTATACAATGCCATACTCTCAGTGCAATGAATTAGTCCGTGGATTAGGATATGATAATCCCTCGAGTACGATAAGGACTATGACTTCACCACTTGAGTACGATGAATAAAAAATTTTGAGTATCATGACTTGAATACAAAAA